CTCTAAGTATTCAGTGTTTCCACCCGGGAATCTCTTCTGGTTTCTCTGCTGGTCCTGCAGATTCTTTTCTTAGCTCTGTTCTGTTCTGTGTCAGTGTGACATCATCAGATCTTCCCCAGCCCTAAACTTTCTTTCTCAGTTGAGTCCCATATCTTAGTTGTCTGTCTGATTTTTCCATTTGGATGTTTCATTGCTATGTCCAACTCAACATGAGATGTTTGTATGTAAGGGATTTGTGTTTTATTGTATTGTTTTCTTGTATTTTAATCTTTTAATGTGAACTGCCCTGAGCCAGGAAGGGCGGCATACAAATCAAATTAAATAAATAAAAAAATGTCCAAGACTGAACTTCTCATCTTTCTTCCCAGGCCTTCCTTTCATTGTATACTTGTATTAATTGGACATGTCATAATTCACTCTGTAAAAGTGATGGCTTTCTCTGCTTCTTCTTTCTCTCCATGTCCTGTTTTTTCTCCATTTACAACAATGATAATATATGATGGTCTTGGTTAATTCAGCGCAAACTATTAACTTCGCAACTTCCCATGTCTTATCTCTTCGTTCTCAGTGTTTCACCTGCTCACACTGTCCACCACTATGTAGGTTTAACTGTAGGTCCACAGACAACTTTCCCCAGAGGACAGAATATCAGGTAGCCCCTAGAACATATACAGCATTTGTGAGTCAATAAATGTGCACTGTGATGCTCTAATAGCACCTGGTAATGGAATACAATTCTTACCACTTCAAAGAATTTGGATGGTCACAATGCAGGTAATCAACCCAGTCTTGCATCTGGGCTTCCTGACTCTCATGACATCAGTCCACTTTGACATGTTTCCAATTTTAATTGTTCATTCTTTAACCTACCTAACTCCTTTCAGCATCAGGTATACCATTTTCAGGTGATCTGCTTCCTTGAAGTATTTGCTCTATCTTGCTTCATGTTCTTTTGCCTGGAACCATCTCACAGAATTATGTAATGTCCCATCTCTTCCTGCAAATCTTTCATCAGAACCTACCTTTTCTTTAAGCCTGTGACACAGTCATTTAGTTCAAACCCCCCCCCCCTCCAAAAGCCTGTGACTGAAGATTAACATAAACCCTTCTCCGGTTTACTGCCATTTCCACCTCCTTCCCCTTATTTTGTTGTTGTCTTTTATTAAAATGTTAGTTTATAAACTCTGCCCAGTGGAAACCCAACATCTTGTGCTCTGAAGTGGCATGCATATTGATGGTGCTACATATAGTATCTATTATCTATCAAAAGGTCATCCAGGTTTTTAAAAAGTTAAAAATTAAAACCAATTTCTGTGCATGTTTTGCTTCAGAGAGCTATCAGTAGGCCTCAGATTCACAAATTATATTGTCATCAAAGAAAATAGCAGTTGACATTTTTTTCATCTGTATATGGATTTTAAGTTTAAATGGCCCCATGTATGCAAAGCCCTGATTTCAGACTTTAATTAAGTTTTGTGCAGCCATAGCAGCTTTTTTCAGAATGTGAACATGCACCTCATATATTCAAACATTTGGTTGTAGTTATAACAGTTGTTGTATACCTGGTCATCTCTGGGGATGGACAAGTACCAAAACAATGTTGACTGCAGTCCAAAGAGTTCCATAGATACATTTAAGCAGCTTTGTAAATTGCTTAGTGGGATTTTTAAACAGCTGATACCATACTATACTACAATTTGCTTTTGAAACTCTCCTCACTTAAAAAAACCAACAGTTTGGATCTTGGACATTTTAATTAGCAACAGTGTTGCAGTGTGGAGGGGAGGAGTATTTCTATAATCAAAATAGTTCACATTCCACCAGTGTCAAAGAATATTGCCGTATGGATAAACAGCAGCGAATTGTCAGTCCACACATTTCTGAAATTTTGGTACAGGTAAACTAAAATGCATAATTAAAACAGCTTTTTTCTTTCCTCTATCTTAGAGACACTGCATAACTGGCGCCATTAAAAAAAAAAAAATTCCGCCACCAGCCATTACTGGTTCAGTGGACAATGTAAAGCAGGAGGTCTCCCTAAACTGTCATCCGTTAGAAATAAATAACTGTAAATGGATTCCTGCCATTGTGTGAATTTAGTAGGACTAGGGTTGCCAACTCTTGGTTGAGAAATACCTGGAGATTTTGGGGGTAGAGTTTGGTGAGGGGAGGGACCTCTGCATAGAGTCCACCCTTCAAAGTAGCCATTTTCTCCAGGTGTACAAATTTCCATCATCTAGAGATCAGTTGTAATTCCAGGCAGTCTCCAGGCCCCACCTGGAGATTGATAACCTTAAGTAGCATGCATATAAACTTAGTTTTTGTATCATGACTTTTTCTTCAGTTCTGTGGGCATTTGCTTTGCTGTTTGAACCCTGACAGCTCATGAAAATTTACTTTCTGTCTAGAAGGATGTTTAGAAAGCTTCTTCCAGTTAGAAAAAAATCATGATTATTTTTTTCTAGCCCTGTGTAAGAAACCTGTCTCCCTCTTTTATTTTGTACTAAACATTTGAGGAACTGTACATTACTTTGTAATGTATGCTTAGTAAATGATTAAGGCTTGCATCCAGGAGACCCACAGAATCTTATAGAGCACCTAAATTTAATTTCTCAATTAGCTTAGTGGAGTAGCCTGTTTTCGTCTTCTAATCTTCAGTAAAGACAGAGAAGGTATTATGGCTCATCTGGATAAAAGCATTATGAGGCCTATAAATCCTTCATACTACCTATTCCCACTCATTTGTTAATGTCTGCCAGAAGAGTGAGCCTTGAACATTTTTACTATAGATTGTCTCAAAGAATTTTGCTTTATTTTTCTCTTGGCGCGCGTGTATATGTGTGTTTTATTTTGCTTCCCCTGGATTTACATGATCTAGAAAATCCCCCAACAGAGCTTCTCCTGTGAAAAGATAGAAGATCAATCTCACTTGTTTTTTATAACAGGGTTAAAAGATCTGAACTTAGCTTTGAGTTCCAAGACTGAATAAAGAGTAGTAGGGAATGAAATGTTAGCCTGGTGCAGATTTTCATTAAAAGTTGGAGAATGAAATTATTTACAGTGCAATCCTAAACAAGTTTACTCAGAAGTAAGTGCTGTTGAGCTCAGTAAGGGCTTACTCACTAGTGAGTTAAGGATTGCAACATTTAAGGGGAGAAGCATTTAAAAAACCAGATGGTTATCCATCCCATTTTTCTGCTTGAGAAAGAGCAAATACTTTAAGCCCCCTCCTCTGTTGCAGAAAAATGCTGTTATAAAATGTATTGTTTTCTCTAGGAAAATATAGTTGGTAAAAGGTCAGAAAGTTAGCTGAGTGACTGTGGGACAGAAACAGTATTAGTAGTGTTTTCCTCTGTGATTAAAAAAAAAATCTACCCAACCACACATAATTCTTTGTGTTTTTAATTTTTAAAAAAAAGAAAATATGTCCTTTCATCATATTCTTTATATTCCATGCTTTCTGTAACTTTTGAATGTTTATAGTAGCATAAATCAAACTTGTTAATGTAAAACTCTAAACCTTGACTTAGTGGGGTAAAGTAAAAAACTATACATGCCAATAAATATGAAATGAACCGTTCTTGATACACTCGATGCTTCATTTCCCCCCC